TGTAATATTTAGTTTGGATAGTTCTTTATCTTCCCCTATCGCTTTTTGTATTTCTCGCGCTGTAATCGGTAATGTTTCTAACGTATCTACTTGAAAAATGTTCTCGAAATCCGTTTTAATTACGGTTTGTGGAATAGGTAATCTCGACAAACAATCTGCATTTGAGTGAAGCTCTGATCTTCTGTACCGAATTTCATAATTGAATCCTTGCAAAAACAGCGCGTAATGTTGCATTCGTAATGCTGTATAAAACGGTAGATTTCTTGTCGGAGATAGAATTTGAGTAAGTGGGCGGTGATCCGTAATTAACGTAAACTTTGTCCCTTGCAAATATTAGTAAAACTTTTTAACGCCGTATATAATCGCATATGCTTCCTTGTCGATCTGTGAGTATTTCTGCTGCACAGATGACAATGTCTGTGAAGCGTACTGTATGGCTCTTTCCGAGCCGTCGGGATAAATGTGAGAGAGTACGACTCCCACCCCGTACGGACTAGCATCAGTGGCCAGAGTAATCGGTAAACGCGGATCAAAATGTACCAAACATTTTTGGCTTGTAAATGCTTTCTTAGCTTCCTTAAAGCTTGTCTCGCATTGCTCTGTCCACTGAAATTCTTTATTCTTATGTAGTAACTTATTTAACGGGTATAGAATTGCACTGAGTCCAGGAATGAACTTGCCATAATAATTTATCATCCCTAGAAAACTTCGAACTTCTGTAACGTTCGATGGACGTTTCATGTTATGTATTGCCTCCATCTTTTCCGGGGCTTTGTGTAATCCGTCTTTATTTATAACGTACCCGCAATATTGTATTTGAGGCATGAAAAATTCGCTCTTTTCCGAATTAATTCGTATATTGTACTTATGCAATCGACTGAATACTAGATGTAATTTGTTTAAATGATCTTTATGATCTATCCCTGCAACTCGAATATTGTCCAAAAATACTACCACACCGGGAATGTCCCCCAGTATATTTTTTATTGTACGCTGCCAGATGGCTGGGGCCGATGCAATTCCGTACATAAGTCGTGTAGATCTATATAATCCCTTATGCGTACTTAGGATTAACAGAACTTGGTCCTCCGGTCGGACCTCTAGCTGTAAATATGCTTGCAACAGATCTATCTTTGAAATGATTGTACCGCCTGCCATTGAAGCGAACAACTCATCCGCAGTCGGTAATGGGTGTTCATCTACCTGTAATCGCGGGTTAATAGTGACTCTGAAATCGCCACAAAGTCGTACCTGCCCGTTTTTCTTTAAGATCAGAACGATGGGTGTAGCCCATTCTGATGTATCGACCTTCTGTAAAATTCCTTCGGATTCTAACTTATCTAATTCCTGTTCAACTAGTAAACGTAGACGGAAAGGGACCGGTCGTGCTCTAACAAACACCGGTTTCGCCTGTTCTTTTAACGTAAGTTTAGCTTGTACATTCCTAATCTTAGAAATAACCGTACTCGTAACATTCGGAAATTCTCTGAGTAATCCTTGAACTGATTCTTCCCTAGAATTGTCAACCGATTTTATGGACTGTAAACATTCTAGTAATTGCTGTATCTCTTTGTTATCTTTCATCTGTAGGATCCATTCTCTGCCAAGCAATGGCTTACGATCCTCTATTGTAATGTAAAGATTTAATTCTCGGGTTTTTTTACCATGTTTCACCTGTACGACCAAATAACCAAGCAACTCGATAGGTTCTTGACAATAAGAGACTAATTGTAACGCAGTCTTATGTATTCTTTCCCCTGAGAATAATTTCTTTGCCAATTTTTGCGCAATTAAAGTAACTGTGGCACCGCTATCTATTTCGAAACGTATTCGCTTATTATTTACTATTAATGACGTGAGCATTTTATCTCGGTATTGCACATGTTCGACAGCTAATATCTCCGTATTCGCGTTGTTTGAACGTTTCTTACCGGACCGACACACCTTCTGTAGGTGTACTATTTTCCCGCACGAATGGCACTTAATTGAACGATTAAGGTTACAATGCGTAGCTAAATGACCTTTGCCACAACGATAACATGAGACATTCGGTAATGTATTCGAACGCGGTTTGCCAGTCTTTTTAAACTTAAACTTAGCTTTCGCTTGCCCGTTGCTGTCCCTCGCTGTCAGCTTCTGGGTTGACTGCACCTGTCCCGCTGTGTCTCCTTGTAACTGCTTCGTTCCTCTCTCTGAAAGTTCGATTGTGGCTGCTGTTTGGACTGCCGTCTCCAGTGACAGATCCTGTATCTCCAGAAATCGCCCCGGTAAATATGCAGAAAAGGTCACACCTCACCGATTTCCTC